TCAACTATTTGTCAATGGGCTATAAGGAAATTTAATTTTATCTACATTTCCTTTTGCCTTTGTTCTCCACATCAAAAATCTGTGAAAAAGAAGAACTCTAGCAATAGCTATCACTGTGAATGAATCGTGGTCAGTGTGAGGATAAGAATACTCACCTTCCTAGCTTCCTCAAGGTCATCTCTGGCTGACTCTTATGGCCTTTTCAAACCTTTTATGCTCTTTAAAGCCCAGAGCCCCACCCGGCCCTCTGTCTCTAAGAAATGGTGGGAAGGCCCACTTCACCCTCAATTTCCCCTTCTTCCGCTCAGTTCACTTCTTCTCTGCTGATCACCCCTACTGAGGAGAGGGGCTAACCTCTCCCATGACCCAGTCAATCAACGGTTGCCTCAACCTGGACTCTCTCTCAGGCTCTGGCCATGCTCAGCTTTTCCCTGGCTTCATGTCTTTTCCTCCAATGTTCAGAATCCTAATGCTAACTTCTCTCCTTCCTGCAAGAGTGAAAGTTCTCTCTGCGTTCTGTCCCCTCACTGTTGAAACGGCTGCTCTAAGGGACACCAAAGAAGAATCTCACCCGTTTTGTCTCCCTCTTCTATTCTAGCATCCTGTAATTCTCAGTTTACCTTCAGTGACAGGTTGTCACTCTCTGTTCTGATTATTCCTTCTCAGACTTTTCTTTACCCAGTCTGTTTCTGTATGCATTTCTGAGGATTCTAGACTTAGTGTGTTCCATCTATTAGACTATACTTCCACTGGGCAGCCTCAGCAAACTCACCACGTAACCATTTCTCTGTAGGCCATTCCTTCACCACCCTCCAAGGGTTGGAATTTCCAGTTGCCTTTGAAAATCTCATGTCATTCCCTTTTTATTTCATTTATTCATCCACTCAGAAAATACTTGAGTGCCACTGAAACATCATCTATCTCTAAAATCATCTATTTCTCCATTCCCACCCCCATCTGGATTTTGTCTTGTTCTTTCTCTGGATAAGAAACATCTTAATCACTCCACATGAATGAGGATCTTGGAAGCCACTTTCAGCTTCCTCACCTAGACACCTGCCAGCCACTGATTGGTAATGGATCCTTTTACATATCCCTACTTTTCTTTCAAGAAGCTGGAAGCTATCTTATTTCTTAGGGGTAGAAGCTGATTTTATTTCTCTTTGCAATTTCCCAAAATGACTTTTTACTTTCTAAGGCTGAGTGGAACTCCTTAAATACTGCTGAATTACACTGAGTTGAAATTGCTCATAAAGTGATTGACAGCTATGATAATGATCTTAGAAGATATATCTGTTAATTCCCTGGCAAAAGCATAAATGCATTCAGTTATCCATTTATATCTACAATTAAGATTCTAAAACTCTGTAGAAATGATACAGAAAAATTATATAATGGGCCTAAGAACATTAATTGTAATGATGGAAGTGGAATTGTTCAGAGAGAAAACTATCCTTCGTTTCGCAAAAGACCTTGCACATGAAAGATGAAATCCTCAAGGATAAATTGCTTTGTATGAGAAAAATATCAAGAATTAAAGGTTAACAGCCAGAAGAAAGAGAAGAAACAAAGAGAAAGAGGAGCCAAGGGAAGTGAGGTGAGGGGATGATATTAGGTACCACCACAAAGAGAGCCAGAAGTGGTTAAGGATGACCTAGTGAGTTTAAAACATAGTGAGGTCCAGTATTTGTTTTTCTCTCTTGGGTGTGCTGTGCTGTGATTTCACGTAACTCCCACCATTTTCTCCTGTATTTTAGAACCCCAATAAAAGTCTGATATGTGGTGCTCCAAGCCAGCTGTGTCCCTCAGCTCTCTCTTCTGGGAGAAACTGCTATGAGCAATGCAGTTAGGTCAGCCTCTGGCTGGTGCACCTTCGGGACCCACTGCAATGCTCACACAGGGCTGCCATCTCCCTGGGCTGCTCCAGCCTTGACTGAACTCAGCAGAGACCTATAACTGGGCCATTTCTGCCCAATGCAGGGCTCTTCCAATGGGCAATCTTTGCTCTAGATCTCCCATCTGCCTGCTCAGGGCTTTCCCAGAGCTGTGCCATGTTCTGAGGCTCTTCTTACAAATTCTCTTCCTTCCCTTTCTCTCTTCACAAGTCAGACCTGCATCATGGTCTAAGGTTCCCCCTACCCACTCCTGTGTGTGTGTGTGTGTGTGTGTGTGTGTGCTCACTCTCTCTTTCTCTTCCATCAAGAAATCTCAAGATTTCCTCAAGAAGTCTCTTGCATTTCTAATTCTGTCCTGGTGACCAAATCTCAGAGGAAATGAACTGACACAGTGTGTTGTTTTTCTTGACAGTAGGGTGTGGGGGTACAGGAATCGAAGCATTTTCCAGAGTAGGGTTACATGGTGTGGAAAAGGGGCCATGCACACAGCGGGTGAGTGGGGATTGAGAATTAATAGAAGTGGGAAGCTGAGCCCCAAAGTGACTAGGAAAAGAATAATCTAGAGATTTGGAGAGAGATGCTGGATTTTCCATTTCATTTTTATCTTAAAAGATAAGTTAACTTTAGCTGCTGGAGAACTTTCCAAGGTATCCAGGCATCTTGCGGTGTGTGAGAAGGTACAAAGCAAGAAGCTCATAATGTGCTCCAAGGGGACTAGAGGGCGACCAGAGAGCACTCACAGAGCCGCAGGGCCTGGCAGAGAGGAAGCTGAAGAGGCTGGCCGAACTAATGACATCTGCTGCTCTAAGTGCGTGCAAGCTTCCTGATGTGGATGAATTAAGTTAGATCCTCAATGAACCTGTGGATGATGTCACCAGTTAGTGACCATTACGAAATTTGGAAGAGGGAAACAGCTATGACCTTTCAACCGGGGCTCTGCTCCTGGGGGTGGAACACCTAGCAGTTGTGGCGACAGATCTGAACACTGGGAAGGCATGAGTTGACATAGTTCTGCCTTCAGACGCTTGGAAAAGGCCCTAAGAGATAGAATGAGGCATAGTGGGGTCTTAAAGGGGCAGAGTATAGCTCAAAAGAAAAGCTAGAGGTATTTGACAGTAGTCAGAGCAGCCACAGCTGTCATTTCCCGTCAGTAGAAGGCTGGCTAGCCATCAAGTGGAAACACTTGTAAAAGGTATCATGTCATGCATCCTGTGGGTCATTTTACTAGAGGTCTACATACATGTCTTTCAGCACTGAGCTTCTCAGAGTCAACACTATCATGATTCTTTAAGTTAAATAGAGAAAAGTCAGGTGCTTGCCTAGAGGGAACAGTTTGGAGTGAGCATCATTGGAGAGTCTCTTGCGTAGGGGCCCTGCCAAGAGGGAAATTACAGGGTGGGATGAGAAGCAGGCAGAGTGTGAATCCATGCTGGGGGAAGGAACTATATCCTCCGAAGGGACCAGGTAAACTGTGCGTTTCTGTATCAGATGGGTCAGCATAGACCTGAAGAATGCCAGCAATTTTCCTCTTCCCACAGGGCCAGTCTATAATAATTAGTTTACTACTTTTTTCACCAGCTATTACTTTAATTATTTTAATTAGCTTGTTCATGCACTTCAGTTGTTTACAAGCACTTTTCTTTTTGTGACGCATCAATAAACAGCAGAAGGGAAACTACCACCTTGGAGGGACCCAGGAAGTTTTACCAGGCAGACCATGGCCCAGAGTTTGGAGGAGTTTCTTCTACTCTGTACTGGGGACCTCCCAGTACGCTGGGGCCTCCTCCAAGAGGATGGGAGTCCCTTCCACGGGGCAGCGTCTGAGTCACATGGGCATGCTTTGTGGTCACTGACCTTCCGGTCAAAGCAACAGAGGGCCAGCAACCTGTTTTCTGTATGTTTCTCCAACAACCACCACCACAGAGTAAACCCCAAAGGTTATGGACGGTTAGTAGTAGACTTTTTTATTAAAAACCCACATATTCAGCATCTCTTAGTTATCTGGTTTGACTTCTGGTTTCACCCCTTACTGGTGTGTGACCTTTGTAAAGTAGCTTCTCAAAGTCTCATTTTGCCTGTCAGTGAAAGCAAAAGCACCAAACCAGTGGAATTCTTTTGATTATTAGGTGGGTCAGCACGGAAGGTAGGTGCGTGCACTGCACCAGTAGGGAGCAGTCATTGGATCCTCACCTCCTCTTCCCTCTTGCCTTCTTCTCCCCTCCTCCCTCTTCTACTCTTCCCTTCGCATACATTTGGCATGACAAAACTGGGACTCTGGCTCCAGACTTCAGGGCTCTTTCCTACTTCATTATTGTTCTTAAGCCTCTGCTTTACAGAAGTATGAAAGAGAGAAAGTGAAATAACAATTTCCAAGGAATTATCGCTATTTGAATAGTCCTATTGGGACATCTGAAAGACCTCAAGTGTCCTTTCTCTGGGGCTATTACGTCATGCTCTCAGAAGTACTGCACTTGCACCATTTGGAAAGTGGTTCACAGTGGGTTCTTTCCACCTCCCAGGGACAATCAGGGGCGGGAGGGGGCGGGGTTTGGGGCCCCGCCTGCGGCCTCAGGGGATTGACGCCCCTCCCATGCCCCTCCAGGGAGGACACAGAGATTTGGGACATAAGACTCTGTCTGTGTGCCATTAATTTTTGTGATTGAAAATCCTATTTTGAGCTTTCCTTTAACAAAGCCCCAGAAAGCCTGCTTCTGTGCTCCTGGCACTGTCTCTCACTTGCTCAGGTACAAACTTGGAAAAGAAGCCAGGAGTCACAAATGCAAGTCTGTCTTCAATCTGTCAAAGCAGAGAATTGGGGCTCTTTATAGCAGATCTCAGGAACCCCATTTTATTCTATGTGACGGGGCTGCTAAATCACCACCAGTGAAGTGCAATTTTTTAAAAAAAAAAAAACTTTTTCATTAAAACTTTAATAGATTAATAGAAACAGAAAATTTTTCTCCAGGAGTTTTTCTATGACTAGGATCTAGAACAAAGGAAAAAAAAAAAAGATTTGGTGTACATTGAATTCAAATGTTTGTACTTGACCCCATATGTTGTATTTTTGTTCCAATTAAACATAATCATGTACTATTTTTGGTCTAATTTAAACAACCAAAGAAGGAACCAACCACTTAGATTTTCAAAAGGCATCTTTTGGCACCATCTTGTGACTATCTATGGTACAATTTAAACAGAACTGAAAGCAGCTCTCTTAAGTTTTTAAAAGTTGTCTTCTGGAACTCTCTTGTGTCCACATGGTGGAACTGAGGAAAACAACCGTTCTTGTCTCAGATACCAGGAGGGCCTTCGCTCCTTCTCCTGTTATAACTATTATTCACTGAAGAATCACAGTGGAGCGACACTCACTGATCTCTTTGTGTGACTCTGAAACACAATATGAGAAATAACAACCAACTCTCATTTTCACCTCAAAGACAGAAAAAGAAAGGGACTCACTCCAACATATTAACATTTGTTAAGAACCACAGAATTTTAACTGTATTTATTCTTCCAATCCATGAGCATGGAATGTTTTTCCATTTCTTTGTGTCTTCTTCAATTTCCTTCATAAGTTTTCTATAGTTTTCATCATACAGATCTCGTATACCTTTGGTTAGGTTTATTCCTAGGTATTTTATAGTTTTTTGTGCAATTGCAAATGGGATCAGTTTCTTGATTTCTCTTTCCATTGCTTCATTGTTGGTGTATAAAAATGCAATGATTTCTGTATGTTGATTTTGTATCCTTCAACTTTGCTCAATACATGTCAAAAAATTAACAGTAGAACTCCCCTATGACCCAGGAATAGCACTGCTAGGAATTTACCCAAGGGGTACAGGAGTGCTGATGCATAGGGGCACATGTACCCCAATGTTCACTGCAGCACTCTCAACAGTAGCCAAAACATGGAAAGAGCCTAAGTGTCCATCAACAGACGAATGGATCAAGAAGACGTGGTTTATCTGTGCGATGGAATACCACATGGCAATGAGAAAGAATGAAATCTGGCCATGTGTAGCAACATGGATGGAACTTGAGGGTGTTATGCTGAGCGAAATAAGTCAGGCAGAGAAGGACAGATACCATATGTTTGCACATATAGGAGGATTAAAAGGAACGTGGGGGAGAAGAAGGGGAAAAATAGTGGGGGAGAGGGAGGGAGGCAGACCATGAGAGACTCTTGAATGCCGAGAACAAACTTAGGGCAGATGAGGGGGGGAAGGGAAGGGGAGTGATGGGCATGGAGGAGGGCACTTGTGGGGATGAGCACTGGATGTGATATGGAAACCAACTTGACAATAAATTTTTTTTTTTTAAAAAAGAACCACAGAATTTTATTTTTTTTATTTTTTATTTTTTTACAAATAGTTTATTGTCAAGTTGGTTTCCATATCACACCCAGTGCTCATCCCCACAAGTGCCCTCCTCCATGCCCATCACCCCCCTCCCCCCTCACCCTTCAGTCCTCAGTTTGTTCTCAGCATACAAGAGTCTCTCATGGTTTGCCTCTCTCCCTCTCCCCCACTGTTTTCCCCCTTTTTCTCCCCCACAGTCCTCCATTAAGTTCCTCCTAATCCTCCAATAAGTGCAAACATACAGTATTTGTCCTTCTCTGGCTGACTTATTTCGCTCAGCATAACACCCTCAAGTTCCATCCATGTTGCTACACATGGCCAGATTTCATTCTTTCTCATTGCCATGTGGTATTCCATCGCACAGATAAACCACGTCTTCTTGATCCATTCGTCTGTTGATGAACACTTAGGCTCTTCCCATGTTTTGGCTATTGTTGAGAGTGCTGCAGTGAACATTGGGGTACATGTGCTCCTATGCATCAGCACTCCTGTATCCCTTGGGTAAATTCCTAGCAGTGCTATTGCTGGGTCCTAGGGGAGTTCTATTGCTAATTTTTTGAGGAACCTCCACGCTGTTTTCCAGAGGGACTGAACCAGTTTATATTCCCACCAACACAGTAGAAGGGTACCCGTTTCTCCACATCCTAGTCAGCATCTAGAGTCCTCTGATTTGCTCATTTTAGCCACTCTGACTGGAATGAGGTGGTATCTCAGTGAAGAACCACAGAATTTTAAAGCTAATCAGTCAAAGAAAATATCAACTCTCCTCATGCTATTGTCATGCAGCAGGGCCACTTTGACTAGTAAAGAGAAGTGCCCTTCGTGCTCGTGCTCGCAACCTTATTGTGCCTTCTAATCTCTTTACAGGTGTCAGTAGTTATTTTTCACAACTCTAAGAGGTAGGACACTATGATAATCTTCATACTTATTGAGAAAACTGAAGCACAGAAAGGCAGTGGCCAGAGACCAGTGACTGATAAACTGCCAGACCTGGGATGTGGCCAGACCATTCCCTCACTACTGTGTCCCCAACCTGTGTCCCCAACCCCTACTTTATGCTGCCTCTAACTCCACTAAGACTCTGGGCATGATTTTAGTGACTATTGTCATTCTGTATTAACCTTTCCTGTTATTATAGCCCTTCAGCAATGTCACCTAAGTGCTTGTTAAATTGGTGATGTCAGTGTTAGTCTTGAAGAAAGTGACTGAAAATCCTCCGTTGACGTGGACTTAAGATGTGATAAAATTTGAAGTACAATATTACCTATCAACAAAGTCTCAAAAATGGAAATAAAGGAAATCCCTCTACATTTTCTGCATTTGTGAAGAACCAACAAAATTTGGAAGCTGGCCAGCCAAACAAGTGCCACAATGTCTGTGCTGTTCATATATAAGGGTTTCTTGACCTTGGCACTATTGACATTGGGGCACTATTGACACACAGGGCTCCCCTGTGCATTGTAGGGTATTTAGCAGCATCCCTGGCCTCTTCACATTAGATGCCAATTGTGACAATCAAAATGTTTCCATTTTGGTGGTGGGGAAGGCAGCAGAGAGGCTCAGATTCTCCAGGGTTAAGAACCACTGAGATAGAATATACTATGAAATCATTGTGATAAGGGAGAGAAAATACAATCATTATAGCCAGCATAACTTTAATTTTCTCAAATTGTCTTGAGAAAGAGGGAAAAGAATGGAAACAATGAAAAAATGCCATTGGCCTGGCTGCAAGATCAGCCCCTCCCCCCCAAAAAATGACACAAAGCAATCACGTTTATACATCTGGCAGCTGGGAACGCACCACTACCTTATGTTGAGTCCTATGGAAAAACCAGTCTTGAGTATGTAAGATTTCCATGACTGCAATCATAAAATGTGAGTGCTATGTTTCCAGAAAATCCTAAAGACTTATTCTCCTTATTTTCTGACCTTCAAGTTCTCTGCGGGCTCTGGCTTTCACCTTCATCAAATATTTCATTCACTTCTCTGCACCCTTCTTGAGCTCTTCTCAGGTAATGATTGCACTCCCCCTTCATATTTGATGTTAGCTCAGATTTAGATCTCCTACTTCCATATATAGAATCTAAGAGTTTCCAAAGACAACCTTATCTACTCCACCATTCTCCATGGGTTTCAAAATATCCTAACTTAAATGATTCAAAATTTCACACCCTCTGCTAACACTTTTAACCTCTACCTTTTTTCTATGATCAATTCATTCATTCATTTATTCATTCATTCATCACTCATTTGATGATTACCTATTATATCTTCTAGACACAGTATTAAATGCCAGGAATTTAAAAAGCATTAAGGAGGGCATCTGCAGTCTCACACTGAAGAGGGAGGGAGCAGGGAAATTACAATGCATTGTGTGTGGCAAATGATAGGATCCATGTGTCCATGAAAAGCTCTGGGAACTTCGAACAGGAACAAATTCTACCTCAGGGTAGGATAGGGAGGTTTCACCGAGGAGGTGGCAATTAATCTGATTATAGAAAGATAAATAGGAGTTTGCCAGGCAAAGAGCACCCCAGGGAGAATGAAGAGCATATGCGTAGACCAGATCTGTGAACAAGTTTCTATTCTTGCCTCCTACTCTCTCAAGATAGGAATCTTTTCCCTTCCCCTACATGTTGATGCACTCCATGTCAAATGGATGGCCACCATGTCACAGCCACTGTCTCACCAGATTCATTTTTTTCTAGCCACACTGATACTCTTGCTCCATGAGGCTCTGTCACTCCCACTCATCATCTCCTTGGCTGACCCTTTCTGTCACATTCGGTTTCCAGAACCTGTCTCTTCCATGTTTGTCATCTCTGCCTCACTCAACCCATATCTCTTGTCCTATGACCATTACTGCTCTCCAGCTATACCTTACCTCTGTTCTAGAATCTGGCAAAAGCCTCCTGACTGGCTGGTGACTTGCATTCTCTCCCCTTTCCAATCTCCCTGATCATAAGTTGCAACGTAAGGATCCGTTGTGGGGATTTGGGATGACTCACTCATACGTTGACTATAGGGCAGGCCGGGCAGGTGGCTGGTGTTTGCAGCCTTTCATGGGAGATGAGCTTGTGGTAGGGAATAAGTAGAGATGGAAGTCAGAGCAACCAATAGTGTAGCCACCACAGTTAACAATCACACCTGGTTGATGTCATCCCTAACCCCATTTTCACAGCCTTTGCCATGGCTTAGCAGGCTCCACACGCTCAGCCTTTACCTCACAGTTGTGAATCAGATAGGACATGCGCTCTCCCACCTCAGGCCTTCTGTGCTGACTTAGTGGCTCCCTGCATTCTTCACTCTCCCTCATTTCCTCCAAATTTCTTCTCAAATGTCTCTCCAACAACCCTGTACAGAACAGCAGCTCTCTGTGATCCCGGGAGGTCTTACCCTCCCTGACTTACTTTGTGCTGCTTTTTATCTCCTCTCCATGACAGCAGGGGCTTTGTCCGTTTGTTCTCTGTTGTATTCCCTGGGTGTGGAAGAGTGTCTAGTCAAGACCGACTCAACACCAGCTGAATACATAATGGCAGAGTCAAGTTCCATTTCTTCTTTCCCTAGCAATATCGATATTTCCCAGCCATGGGATCTGGGTGAGGTTTTCCCACCTCTAGATATCAGGATGGAGTGGAGGGAGGATTTGACTGGTCTAGAAGCCCCATCCTCCTGCCATCAGTCATTGGCTCAAAGGGGCATTTTCCCAAGCCCAGGTCAAACGGTGCAAGTAGTGGGTGGTTCAGGGCTGGGAAGGTGGCCCAAGTTGGTCTGACTCAGGTAACGCTCCTTTAGCTTGGTGGGCAGGGAAAAGGAAGCTCTGTTCTGTGGGTGGGCATGACCTGTCTTAGAGTCAATGGCTGTGAGCACTTAGCTCTCAGGAAAGACTCCAGCCTGAGGACCAAGTCTGAAAGCTGCACAGAGAGCATCATAGACAGTAGAGCCAGGGCCTCCACCACCATGTGAATCTCTCCTTCTAAAGCTGTTGTGTCTCTACAACTTTTGGATTCCTTGTTTTGTGAACTGATGAAGCCCATGATTGTTTGTCTGCTTAATGTCAGTTTTTCTTTTTTGTGCAATCAGAAGCATCCTAGCTGATACACTGTCCTTAAAATGCTACTGTGCCCTAGTGATGTTTTAAGGACACTGATCAATTAGAATGTTTATTATTGAATCAATAAATTCATTCATCAAATATTTAGGGAGCACTATACAACTACTTTAAAGTGAGCTAAATGATAATGGGTATAAAACCTACCTTGGGGTGCCTGGGTGGCTCAGTCAGTTAAGCATCTAACTCTTGGTCTCAGTTCTGGTCATGATCTCACAGTTTTATGGGTTCGAACCCTGTGTCAGGCTCTGTGCTAGCAGCGTGGAGCCTGCTTGGGATTCTCTGTCTCCCTCTCTCTCTGCCCCCTCCTCCACTCATACTGTTTCTGTCTCTCTCAAAATAAATAAATAAACTTAAAAACAAAAACAAAAAACACCTCATTTGAGGGAAAATGATAAGAGATGGGGAGTGTTTAGACTTGAGAGAAGACTTCTTAGATGACATCTTCATGACAGATGTGGCCTCACATTTGAAGAGGATGACATGTTTAGACATTGATTTGGCTAAGACCTGCTGGAATACAAGATGTTCTTAATTCTGCTTTAGATGCCTATCCCTTCTCCTAAGGTACCAGGGGAGAATATATTCACAGAGAGCAAAGCTAGCAAAGGCAAGACCTTGCCATTAGCTCAGACTTCAGTTTTAGATCACTGTGCTTCCCCTCAAAAGGGCTCTTAACTCAAGGTAGACTGTCCTGGAGGAGCTACCATCAAGGTGGACAGAAGGCCTCCTCTTTTTGCTTCCACCCCAAAGTACAAACCCTTTTTGTGAGTCTTACCACTCCAATGGGAAGAGAGGATATCCATGCCAGTCTGAACCAGATGGGGAACCCAATGCAGGAATAAAAGATGCATATCTCTATCTCTATTTTCCTTCCCCCTACAGAGCTTTCAGATGAGATCACAACCTTGGTCAGTAGAAATACAGCCTTATAGGAGATCTTGTACTGGTGTATCCAGCTAGGCCACACAGGGATTCCTGCCTACCTGACCTATGAGATAATAAATTCTTATTTTTAAGGTGCTAAGTTGCTGAAATTTCCAAAGGTAATTTGTTACACAGCAATAGATAACCAACACAAATGGGTACATAGAGTTTCATTATGTAAATTTAGGTTGTTTCCAACCTTTCCCAACTGTAGCATGGCACTGAGCATCTTTATACGTATATTTTTGTGCATTACTAAAAGTAGTTGTGTAGGACAAATTATTAGACATAGAATTGTTTACTCTTACTTTACATTATAATACTGTCAAGTTACCCTCCCAAAAGTTATATACCAATTTATACTACCAATAAAATATGTCTTTTACCCAAGAACCTTGTCAATACCAAGTATTACAGATCTGTATCATTTACCAATTTGAAAGGGAACAAAAAGATTTCATGTATTGCCTCCTTACCCCATGTCAAGCCTCAGGGCTCAGGGTTTTACATGCCTTTTCCCATTTGAGTTAGGGTAACTCTATAATGTAGGTGTAATTATGATCCCATTTATTACCCCAATGATGAGAATAAGACCTGATCAAGATTACATAATTGAATAGTACACCAGATAGTCTCAGGAAGTCTCACTTAGGAGTCTGATCTTTAAATGGCTGCTGAGGGGAGTCTGGGAGGCTCAGTTGGTTGAATGTCTGACTATTGATTTCAGCCCAGGTCATCATCTCATGGTTCCTGGGATCATCAGGGTATTGGGCTCTGAGCTCACTGCACGGAGACTGCTTGGGCTTCTCACTCTCCCCTTCTCTTTGCCCCTCCCCTGCTCAAGCACTTTCCCTCTTTCTCTCAAAATAAATAAATAAACTTAAAAAAAAATGGCTGGGAAAATTTGACCTAGTCTCACAGCCCTTATACTCTTAGTATTTCTTTTCCTATAATTGCATATTCATATTTTCTCCTTCTGTGCTGGTGTCTTCTGTTTGGTGCTTCAGATTCACTGTCTTCCTACTCTGCCCTGCTCTCCCCTAGAAGTTTGACTTTTGTGGCCTTCATTAACAATGCCCTACTGCCTGGCTGGGTTTAGCCAATGGAGAGCCTGGCAGGAGATTAGAGGTGGGAAGAAAATAAACCCCAAGCATTTACTCTGACTGGCCTTGGCTTCAGAAAAAAGGTCATTGTTCTCTTCACCTTCTCTTTTTTTTGGGTTCCTGTAATTTTTCTCTCCTCTTGACTTTTCACACAGAGAAATGATTCCTGATTGGCTGCAAATAGTCTCAGGTAACTGTGGCTGTCCTATATACATAACTATACAAATAATCTTTTGTAAATGAAGCTTCCCTGCTTTATCTTGAGTGTGCTATGATTTTTTATTTTCTATTATGTTGTCTTTTGTCACTGAATCGTAGGCATTCTGTATGTTAAGGTCATAATTCTTTGTCACTTGATGTGGAAGCATCTATCTTGGTTTGTTGTTTTTTAGTGTCATTCTTAAAAGTGAAACAGCCATGAGACACCTGGGTGGCTCAGTTGGTTGGGCGTCCAACTTCAGCTCAGGTCATGATCTTGTGGTCCATTAGTTCTAGTCTTGTGTCGGGCTCTGTGCTGACACCTCAAAGCCTGGAACCTGCTTCAGATTCTGTGTCTCCTTCTCTCTGTGCACCTCCCTCACTTGAACTCTGTCTTTCTCTCTCTCTTTCAAAAGTAAATAAATATTTTTTAAAAAGGTGAAACAGCCAGTTACTTTATAAACAAAATGGGTTTATTTCGGAATAGCAGAAGAATTTCAATTCAGGACAGTCATGCCATGGCAAACCATAGGCAACTGCAGAGATCAAAGGAGAGGAATGCTCCTTTACAGAGAGAAGGTAAACACTGGAAGTGACTGCTTTGAATGAGAGTCCAAATAAGGGAAGTAAGAGTTCCGGGTGGTGATGGTTTCTCATTGGCTGGGTTGTGGCATTTTCTTATTGGTTGAGTTTGTTGCCAGGCAAGAAGAAACATTTCTTCCTGCCTGAGTAGTAAAATAGGCTCCTTCCTGTCAGAAATCTAAGCAAATCTCTTCGTGTTAGGGTCTGCAATTGATCATGAGTCATGGGGCTTGAGAATTCCTTTTGGCCTTTGGTCCATTTTATGAGGATTCCTTTATTCAGTTTCATTAGGTTTTTTTAAGATGACTTCCCTGTAGGGGTGCCTGGGGGCTCAGTCAGTTGAGCTTCCCTCTTTGACTCAGGTCATGATCTCAATGTTCATGAGTAGGAGCCCCACATAGGCCTTGCTGCTGTCAAAGCAGAGCCTGCTTCAGATCCTTGGTTCCCCCCCACCTCCCTTCCCCCACTTGCACTCTCTATCTTTCAAAAATAAATAAACGTTAAACAAAAGAATGATTTCTGTATAAATGTTTTTATATCCTCACCTAAGGCCCCACCCTAGAAAATGTGGCCTTGACCTTGACAAATCCATTGCCACTCACTTCTTCACTTTGGGGTGAAGTGAAATGTCTAGATGCTAATCTCTTTGTGCACCAAATGTCATCTTCCCCTCTTTAAAAGTTTACTTTCCTCTTCAAATATATGGAAAGGTTTGTCTGTACTCCACCTGAGTTGTCTACTAGGAGCTGTTCTTCAATGTCATGTGCTTCTTTCTGTGCTCATGGCTGCCCCCTGCCTGGAATTCCTAGGCATGGTCCCCTGCCAAAGCGCTCTGCCACCTGCACCAGTGGAGGAGTGAATGTGGGGTAGGCCACACTTTCTTCATTATATACTCCCTTTATTTTCTGAAATACCGTCATGCGTGCCTGTACGGTTAATCAGACTTTGGCTTTGGGGATGGAAGGGAAGTGGGGGTGTATTGCCATGGAGGTAGAAATAATTATATACAGGATGGTGGGGGAAGGGGATTTACACTGAGGGTTTAATATGATTTTCCCAGCAGGAGGTTCATTCATTCATAGGGAGTTCCTCGTGGGCACACCTAGTCACTAAAATCACTCCTTACCCTGGTATCTTTCTTCTCTCTCTTTTTTAATTTACATCCAAGTTAATTAGTGTATAGTGCAACAATGATTTCAGGAGTAGATTCCTTAATGTCCCGTACCCATTTAGCCCATGCCTCCGCCCAGAACCCCTTCAGTATCCCTCTGTTTGTTCTCCATATTTAAGAGTCACTTATGTTTTGCCTCCCTCCCTGTTGTTATGTTATTTTTGTTTCCCTTCCCTTATGTTTATCTGTTTTGTATCTTGAAGTCCTCATATGAGTGAAGTCATATGATATTTGTCTTTCTCTAACTTGGCTAATTTCGCTTAGCATAATACCCTCTAGTTCCATCCATGTAGTTGCAAATGCCAAGTTTTCATTCTTTTTGATTGCCGAGTAATACTCCATTATATACATATATATGTAATATATATATTACATAGGTATATTACATGTGGTATATATGTATATACATAGGTATATTACATGTGGTATACATATATATACCACATCTTCTTTATCCATTCATCCATCGATGGACATTTGGGCTCTTTCCATACTTTGACTATTGTTGATAGTGCTGCTATAAACATTGGGATGCATGTGCCCCTTCAAAACAGCATACCTGTGTCCCTTGGATAAATACCAATTTATGTTCAATTGCTGGGTCGTAGGGTAGTTCTATTTTTAATTTTTTGAGGAACCTCCATACTGTTTTCCAGAGTGGCTGCACCAGTTTGCATTCCCAGCAGCAGTGCAAAAGAGATCCTCTTTCTCCACATCTTTGCCAACATCTGTTGTTGCTTGAGTTGTTAATGTAGTAAATTTTTCTTAGTAATTTTCCAAGTAATTTCTTAGTAACTTTTACCTGGATACATTACTATTCCTTTTTGTTCAGTCTCTGCGCCTGTTTCCATTTTTCCACTTTCTCTTCAGCTGCTTTTCAGGGGGAGGGTGCTTTTCCCATACTCTCCCCCACCTCTGCCCCCGGTCTCCATCCTCTGTCCGCAAGCAAAACATCTCCCTGCCCTCCACGGCTTCTCTCTCCCCCAGTTCACCTCTTCACGCCGTGTACCTGCTGAGTTCTGTGGTTCATGTTGTGCAGATTGTTGTGTTAATCCTCAAATCAGTTTTCTAAGTGTGCAGGATGGTTTAGTCTTGATCTGGCTGCATTTCACGGATGCGAGACTCAAAAAAACTTCCATGCTGTTCTGGCACCTTCTGCTGGTATCTTTCTTCTAACTATCTTACCTCTTCTCTGTGGATTCCTTTCCTGAACCTCCCAAAGAAGTGTTGCTACCTGTCCACAAGGTCAGTCTTGCCTACAGGATTATGTTACCTCTAGCAATAAACTTTCCTTAGCATAGTGAAGTGAAAGAGGAGCTCCAGCAGGACACACTAATGAAGTGATCGTTCCTTTGCAAAAGTCCCCCAGAGCTGGGTGTGGAGAGCCTTCAATACTCAAACCCTGTGGAAGAGTCCTCAGTGGGCAGTCGGAGTCTAGTCCCCTTTGAAGAAGCTCACCCCACGGAAGCACAGACCCTTCTTCATTTTTCCCATTCTTTATTTTTTTATATTTTATTTTATTTTATTTTATTTTATTTTATTTTATTTATTTATTTTTTTAATTTCTAGGAAAGAGAGAGACAGCGTGAGCAGGGGAGGGTCAGAGAGAGAGGGAGTCACACACTGAAACAGGCTCCAGGCTCTGAGCTGGCAGTCAGCACAGAGCCCGACATGGGGCTCGAACCCACGAACCGCGAGATCATGACCTAAGCGAAAGTCGGACGCTTAACTGACTAAGCCACCCAGGCGCCCCATTTTTCCCATTCTTGAATATATTTATTTCTGTCCTTAATCTCATGTTTTCAAATTGTGTCTTCTCAGTCTTCATAGAATAAGAAATGGACCATGAATGGTCACTCCTTTAGCCATACAGCCCCACAACAGCTTTGAAAGCACCTTTTGTGAAAAGATGGGGTTTCATTTTTAACCAGGGACTACCCTTACCTGTAGTTTGGAGGAAAATGAGGGAAGAAGTCTTGGTTATATGTCTTAAGGAGAGGAAGGCAGATGGGAGACAAAAGAAAGAGGCCTATTTTACTCTGTCTCCTTAAAGGACAACAGGCTCAACAGCCAGATTCTAATAAATAGTTGTTACGACAACAATGGAATAGGACACTTTGGAACATGTAAACTCCCTGTCCTTGGAAGTCTGTGATTAATGGGATGTCATAGAAAGGATTACTTGTCTTTTAGGAGCAAACACAAAGTCTTTCTCTTTACTTGGCCTTTAAATCAGTTCTTTACTATTTAAGGATATAAATGTAAAGTCAGAATTGGACTAGGCTGACTGTTCATGAGGGAAGAATGTTAAAGGAAAGGGAGATGGGATCTGGCCATGGGTAATACAGGTAAAACAGGCTATGTTACATTAATGAAAGGAGAAGATATCAGTGTGTGTGTGTGTGTGTGTGTGTGTGTGTGTGTGTTGCACAAAGCTAGATGCTGGTATGCTGAGCTGGGATAAAAGATTCATGAAGAGGTGGGTAGCTGGATGAAGGGTTCCCTAGACTCTTGAAACAACAATCCACTGCATGTCCAGGTGTTATCTGCCTCTCTTTGTATTGCCCTGTGGAGACTAAGGCTTGGGACACTGGCACAGGTACTGATATCTGGCTACTCCCGCTGCTATAATAAAGTCCCTTGTCTGTGATCCAAGAGTTTTCTCCCAATATCCATGAAACTGTGGCAGGCTAACTCAACTTATAGGATGGTAAAATCTCAGACCCTTAGCAGTTCTTGAAAGTCTTGGTTGTTTTCAAGAGGGGATGTAGACAAAAAGGCTTATTAGCAGATTTTTGAGGGAAGTCCCTGGGAATTGGCAGTGAACATGTTGACCAAGTTTTATGATCACTGAGGCATGGTTCTCCATGTTTTTGCCAGTTATAAGAAGGAATTGAAGAATTGCAAGCTGAGGACTAGGAGGTAGGTTCAAAGTCTGCTGTGTGAAGTAGTGCTTAGAGCATTGCTAATTCATTTCTGTGTAGGGAGACCCTCACCAATTTGGCAAGCAGTTTCAGGTCTGTCTTGCTGTAACAACTAGTACTAATATTCATCCTGGATGAGCAGAAGTTTTTGGCCTTTTTTTTTTTTTAGAAGAATGGCAACAACTGGATCATTAGTCCCTCCTACGTTCTAACATCCCACCCTCAGATTCATTCAGACAAGAGCAAAATGTCTCAGCAGTTTTGCAGTCGGTCCCAGCCACTGTCATGGCTCTTTGGGGGACATTTCCCTGAGACAAGCTTCCCTGGGAAAGCACAGATGAAATTTGACTAATATTTGAACTCTTACTGCCTGGGATCGGATTTACAATGCCGCTGCAGGTGATCCACTGGAGAATGAGAAACTGACCCAAAGAATTCTACATAAATTCTTATGGTCAGTTCTCAGCCCCCCAAAACTTACACTGGAACTAGATGAAGTCTTAAGAGATGTTATTTTGATAATGGGGCATCAAATGCCCCAGATTGAGGTGGACTCCTTAAAAAAAGTTGCTACTGTGTGAGCAATGCCCAAGTCAGCAAAAGGGTGCAAACCCAGTAACACTAGCCAGAATGTAAAGTGGTGTGGCTACTGAGTCAAGGGGTTCCTAAGGCTGAGACAGGTGGTATCAACCATGAGGACCTTCACCCAATTTACATTGGTGAACCAACCAAAAGCATTGCAGGCTCATTTGGTTGATCCATGAGCAGACACCATACTATTTGAAAGTAAAAGTATATATAAAGCCTTATTGGCCTGCAGAGGCTCTTTCATCCTGTGCCATCCTGAACCCTATCTCTGCCCTCTATCGTTGCCTCAGCTACTCTTAGTATGGATGTTTTATGGACCTTCCATGATCCTTAATGTCCACAGGCATCTGGCATTGACCCCGAAAATTTCTGACTCTGTTCCCATCACCTTATCCTGGTCCTGAGTAAGGCAGTTTGGTCAATGAATACAGCTGTCCTTAGAAAAGGATCATTTCCTCCTGGGTAATGGTCAGGACAAAAGGGACGAAGTGATGTGGACTTATTTTGAAAATCTGAAATTTCTCCATGACCTTTCCTGACAGTGACTCCAAGTCAGCATGGGTGGCACACCCTCCAGATGGCAGCCCAGTCAAAATGGGGCCTGAGAGACTCAGGCTTACTTCTCGTTCAGGCACCTGGCTTCTCTGGTTGGACTGATATGGTCCCAGATCATAAGGATAGTTGCCATTTGGCTGAGCACACTATCATCAATCTCCCTTCACAGGCCAACGTGGAGGCCATAATGGGTCTGTGTAACTTTTGTTAAACGTCCAAGGTTGGTTTTTTTTGTTTTTGTTTTTGTTTTCCAGAATAAAAGATCTGAGTGTGATTATGGGATGACTGAAGAAAAGGTGAAATTATCAACCCTGAAAGTGGATGTAGCAATTTGAGGCAATGGAAGGCAGGCAACAGTAGCACATGGGATGGGAGCATCTCAGACCCCAAGAGACATCACACACACACACACACACACACACACACAGAGAGCGAGAGCAAGAGAGATTTGAATGATCTTTGTTTTTCAGAATCACTTCTGGAGCCTTCCTCATGAAGGAAAACCCCTGGTGAGATTCTCCCAAACCATTGCAAGGGCTTTTGATGTAACTGACTGCTTGATTTGTCACCATCTGCCTGATGGCTCTGATTGTGATTTGACTGCTAGTCACCCTACCCTTACTGAGGAGTCAATCAGAAAAGGCAGAGGATGGTCCCAGCTCCTGCACCTCCCACAAAGATAATACTTGTTTCACCTCCAGATGTCTTCTCCACCCCTATTCTTATGACTGTCACTAAGTCATTTTTTCTGATAGATAAATGCCACCCAACTGATTGTATGAGCAAACAAGACTGACTACCCTCAGACAGTCTTTCTAAAAAGAAAGACTAAACTCAATTATTTACATTTAGCTGGGCAGTTCAAGGTTTACCAGCTGGCCAAGAGGTCATGTTGGATGCTCTGTCAGCATCTCCCTGTAAATGACATAGGTCCTACTTAGGAAGCCCCAACTATAAACAACACTTTCATGTCACGGTCATGATATACATATGCCCTTGGGACTATACTTGCTTTGTGGAACTAGGGCATCACACTCCCTGCCTTCTGAAAACACAGTGATTTGCAACTTGGCCACGGTCTTAAGAAATCTTCAAGTAGTTAAGGGAGCAACACCAGTAAATCATGTACCCCTCACAACTCAGAGATCTTTCCCAAAAGAGGCCACCCTTGGTTCTCAGGAGAGATTCCCCAAGAGATAACTGACTTGTTATTTATGTGCACTCTGTGTATAACGATCTCTATATCACGATTCATCCAGTTAGAAAAAAATGGTACAAAAAATTAGTCCCTGACTGCATTGGAGGTAATCAGGGCTAGTGCCTCATCCCTGGAAAGCATTCAAGTGGGCCTCAGCTGAGCAGTCAGCATTGCTATGAATGAAAGAATTGGCCTAGACTTCCTCCTAGAGGGCTGAGCAAAACCTGTGCCATCACAGATACATCCTGCAGTTCCTGGATTAATGTCTCAGACCAAGTGGAAAAATCAATACAGAAATATAAAAAGAAAATCTCCAGACTTTCTAAGGTAGAATCTGATAATATATGGGATTTGTTCAGCTGCCTGGGTCTGGAAACCTGGGAGGCATAATTGAAGTGAATTCTACATGTTGGCCTCAGCTTACTGGTTTGAGTCCTACTAATAGTAGCCTAATTAGATGTTGACCTCCAAGCCTATGGCTGCAAACCAGTCTCACCCTCCCATATCCACCTGCAAGGGCCGACTGCTTGCCCAGAAGAGGAGATTCAACATTAATATCTAACTTCATCTCCTAATTGAACACCTAGGAAGGCAGCCCGAAGTTAATATGTGAGCTCTTATTTAACATTGTTTAAGCACCTTGTTATGACCAACCTGTTCAAAGGGCATCTGCCGTATTGACCAAACAATGCCATTTAGGAGAGACCCTTTGATCTTATGATCTGACTGGCAATAAGTAACTGGGACCTCTTATATTTGCCCTGCTCCCATTGAGGAAACAGACAAGCAGCTCCTCAAGCCTATCTCAGTGATATACACACACACATATATACACACATACATATATGCACATATATCTACATACGCACACGAACATACATATACATATACACATACAGATGCACACATACACACACACAGCACAGTTACTCACTATGTATGACATGGGGCAGGTGGAGACACAATTAACAGGCAGCAATTACCCTTGCTCCCCTTCCCTTTGTCCTAGAAAGTTCCTTCCCCTCTCCTCATTGACAGTTCTTGGTTGCTAGTCACATTCTTCCCAGCCTGTGATCAAGGCAAAATGTGGACTTTGCACTGATCATTTCTGTAGCTCATTGTCCTTGCCAACCCCACCTCTCTCCATCACTACTATCAATACTGTATCAAATAAATTTCCAAAGTTATTTTTTTTAAATCACCAAAGAAACTAGGGCAGAAGTGAAAGGTGTTCTAAGTCTGGGGGCAGAAGTTATCAGTGGGTAGATCTGTTTGATTAAGTCAGGAGTGCTCTATTGCTTAACATTTTTACAATAGAATTGTTGAGTAACTCATTTCCACATTTTTTCTGAACCACAAGGTGTGTGACCTTGAGTGAAATGGAGAGAGGAAGGGTTCACATTTGAGAGATTCTAAAATGTTATAGGATTTCCTTAGATCTATACGTGGAGGACTTGGCTCTTTTCCTCTAAAAGCTTTTGTATTATAAACATCTGAAGCTTCCTTTTAAAAAGATCTGAAATGAAGCAGATGGTTCAAACTAATCTGAATTTAGGGCTCAAAAAACTAGAAAGTCTCTTTTGTAACTCACACTGGGCTTTGAAGATAAATGTCAGAATATCGAGAGGTCTCCTTTTCACATGGATAGTTGAAGAGAATGTTCATAGAGGGTTGGGATTTTTCTTTGTATGAAGAAAGTATTTATCATACATTTAAAAAAAATCTAAGTATTCTTCTCTCTAGACCAGAGAGAGAGAGAGAGAGAAAAGATCATAGGTATCAGAAAAACAGATGAAC